CAAATACCTGCAATATTATGCAGATGGTTCTGAGGAAAGAATGAGTTTGGCTGGAGTCAGAGAGTCAGAGAAAAAAGCCAAGATAGGAACCAACTGTAATTAACACTGTCCACCTCTCAGTAGAAGGTTGAGGTACTTTTAAATGTTCCCTTGTTGGATATACACTTTTCATCTTATTAATCACATATAATGTCTTAGAAGAAAAAGAATATCATACTATTTCAATTATAAACTTGTACTGTTCATATAAGTATTTCCATAGCCCATCCCCCAAGAAGTATCTTCAGTGGGTTAGTTTGGTTGGGCTTTTTGGTTTATGATGGTTGCTGCTGTTGCTTTGAGAATTTTATTGCTGCTCTTGTTATTTCTAACTGCAAATGTCTGAAAATTGTTGAACTTTCACACAAGTGGTCCAAATGTAACTTCAGTATTCAGTCAGTTGTATCAACTGACCAAAGCATTTTATACTTATTCTATAAGGATATCATTAGTCAGACTCCTTGATGTATATTCTTAGAAGTCACTGTCTCACCAGCACCCTTGCATTTTCCCAGTGGCAGGAATAAACTATTTATTTATTAATTAATTTATTTATTTTTAGGAATAAACTCTTTATAGGTGATTGCATGTCTTTGGCATAAAAAAACTGCCTCTGGTTGCACCTGGGTGGTGGGTAAATGGGGGGATGGTGTTCATGTTATTATTCGCTATTTTTGTGTATGTTTGAAAATGTCCATAATGAAAGTTTGGGTTTTCTCTTTATTTATTTGGCTGTGCTGGGTCTTAGTTGCAGCATGGAGGATCTTTAGCTGTGGCAGGCAAACTTTTAGTTGTGACATATAGAATCTACTTCCCTGACCAGAGATGGAACCTGGGCCCTCTGCATTGGGAGCATAGAGTCTTAGCCACAGGACCACCAGGAAAGTCCCTGGGGTTTTTCTTTTCACTGATTATTGGACGTAGTTCATGGTTTTCTAATGCATGAACAACCACCACATACTCCACTGGTCTTTGCAAACTGGAGCTTGAAATTTTCATTAGCAGTCATTACTAGGATGGCAGCTGTCCAAGAAAAATGAAGACATTGAGAAGAGCAAGGTTAACACTACTCCTTAATGCTTCAGAGTGGAGCATGCTTTGAGAGGTACAACTAAACATTCAGGTTAAAATGAAAAAATATTTGGGGCAGAAATTAGATATTGCAAATATATCCCTTCAAAAGAAAGCTACCTGTGAAATGAGCCCTTATCAGTAAACTGCTCCTCATTTGTTACCTACATTTATTAAACTCCTGTATGCAAAGACCTATGCTAGACAGGGAGACATAAATATAATGTCTGCCCTTGTCAAACTGGACAAAGAAAGAATGAGATAGATAACACCTGATCCCCGAAACTTAGCACTGAGTCTTGGCCCCGTCCCTCAATGACCAGGATTCAACTTAGCCCAATTCCCTTCAGGGTTAATGCCATTCTAATAGAGCACCTACTCTGGGTAAGGTTCTGAGCTAGATACTAAAACTGTGGAGGGAAAAAATATAGTCCCCATCCTTGGGCTAACAGGGAAGAGGGGTAATAAAATCAACTCTTGGATTGTGGAATTGCACTGGGTACCATGAGATGACAGAAGAAGACTTCAGGGAAGTCTTCATGAGTTAAATCTTAAAGACTTATTAAGATTAGCAAGTGATTAAGGTGAGCAGAAGCAGAGAGTTATAAAGTGTCTGTGGTATGAGAGGTTAGGAATTATTTGGTAATCATACACCAAGACTATTTAATTATCACTAGAATGTGAGCTCTGTGGTGGGATTTTGTCTTGTTTTGTTCACTGTATATCTGGATCGTGTAGGCACTCATTAAGTATTTATTAAATGAACAAACAAATCCAGCTATAAATTGTTGCTGGAGTCCAGAGTTTATGGTAGAGAGCCACAGTGGAGGTTGAATCAAGGAATCCCTGTAAGAAGCTTGAATTTTATGATGATGGAGAAACACTCAAGAATTTCACAAAGAAAAATAGCATGACAGGATTTGTGTTTTTGAGCTTTGAGGGAGAGAAGTCTCAGGGGCATAAGACTAGAGAAAGAAACAAAGTGTAAGCTGTTGCTAAAATCCAGGGGGAAAGTTGATTTGGGTAAAAGCCATGGAATTGAGACACAAATTTAATGTCACCTAAAGCCACCAAATAGTTAGCATGAAGAAGACTGGCAGTACCAAGTGCTGTCAAGCGTGTGGAACAAGCAGAACACTTATCCCTGCTGGTGGAGTTTACATCTCTTTGAAAATCTGTTTGAAATCTCAAAGCAATCTCTTTGAAAAGCTGTTGGGTAACTCCTACAAAAGCTGAACTCAGTAGTCCCCCTTTCAGGTAAACTACAGAACCCAACAAGAATGGGTGTTCATATGCCCCCAAAGATGTCTGCACAAAGGATGTTCCTAGCAGCATTCTTCATCATAGCCCAAATGGATAAACTGTGTTACAGTCATGCAATAGAATACTGAAAAAAAAAAAAAAGCTGAAAATGAATGTATGGCCATTACACAGATGAATCTCAGAAACATCATGTTGAGTAAGAAGCCAGATGGAGAAGAATACACACAACATACTATAGGATTCCATTTATAAAAGTTCCAAGACAGACCAAGCCCATTTGTGGTGAAAAATCCGGAATAGACTTTGGCTTTGGGCACAGGGTAATGAATGGCTGGGAGCGAGGAGCTAAGCTGTATCTACATCCTGATCTGGACATGGTTAAACGAGTGGGCTCTCTTTTGTAATAACTCATCAAGCTGTATGCTGCCATCTGTGCAATGTTCTGAATATATATGAATATTTTAAGTGGCCTCAGTTTCCTGGCTCAGGTACCTGGGTGGGTGATGGTGGCCCTGTATTAGATTCAGTGTATCTAGAAGAAAGAGGAGTCAGATTCCATGGTTGCCAAGCTCTTAGTGCATTTGTGGCTTCTGGCTGCCCAAGTCACATCATGGACATACCACAGCCCCTATGGTCATGGAAATCACCCCTCCCTGGAAATCTCCCTTTGAGGTGAGCCCTCCTGTTTCTAATACCCCTAGAGACTGTGCCACCCCTCCATTCAGGGAAGTCTCATCCAAGAAGAGAAGCCCATTTTTAGGGGCCCCCAAACTCTGGCTCCATGCTGCTTTTTGGCAGTGGGGGAGATCCTAAGATAAGGAGTCAGAATCAGATCCACTGGAATCATTGCCGTAAGAATGATAAAACAGCATCTTCTAGACCACTGGGGGCACGGGGGACTGTCTAGAATTACGTGCAGTGGTCATGGGGAACAGACACACCTTGGGAACTTGTCATCCCTTCTTTGCCAGTGCCTCTGTTCTGCTCAGCTATTACGTGCCTTCACTGGAGTCAAGCCACTCCTGAAGCAGAGGAGTGGAGGATAGAGACTCGGGAGGAACCCTGGACAGAAGCCACAAGGAAGGATAAGTGGGAGCCACTGCAAACACAGTCAAAAATGGGGGAGAGACAGACTGAGACTGGAGGGAACCCCAAGCCTCTCCCACCCTGCTTTCCGCCCCAGCATCAGTTAGAGACCAGGGACAAAGTTCCTTTCTGACCAGACTGCGCTGTCTAGGAAGTCCTAATATCCCCAAGTGAAGAGAGTGAAAAAAGCATGCCCAAGCTCCCAGCTCCCAGCTCCCAGCTTCATGGAGCATGCCAAGCAGGCAAAGGCTTGTTTCCTTTGCCTCGTCTTGATTAGGAGTTTCCTGGCAATGGGTTCAGTACTTTGGTCAGTTGGCTAAGCTTACCATCCTTTTTCTACCCCTGGCCAAGCCTGGTCATTCAGGTGACCAAGTCCTACCTATGTTACTGCCAAGACTTCTTGGCTTGGTACCTCCCCTAGCCTGAGAGGAGCATGAGACCCCCATCCTGCCCTAGAGGCTCCATCCAGCTGCCACTGACTCTAAGAAAGAGCCTTTTGCAGATCCTTTCTGACACCTTCCTCCTCTGGTGGCCAAGGCCAAGAGAACTAGTTATAGAGGAGATGGCTACAAACCAGACAACCCAGATAAAACATGAAATTCTGCACCCACACTTAGGTAACCCTATTCTCGAGAATCAAAAGAGCAATTTGCTGTTATAGAAGTGGATCCCTGAGCGAGCCGGTAAGTGAAATGGGATCAAGACAGAGGCACAAGAGTGGGGTTGACTTTCAAGAAATAGAACGAACCATGATGCCCACAGGCGCCATGCTGCTGCCTGGGGAAGCAGAATCATTCGTTGTGGGTGTAGTGTCTTCCCTGTTGCACACGGGGCACTGAAAGTAGTTCTAGACTTTTCTAACCCCTCCCCCCAAAGTCCTAACGCCATTTCTGGCTGCTGAAACCTCCCTCACTAGAAACTCAAGTCTTCACCAAGTCTCAGCTTCAGTTTACCCACACTCTTCCTTTTCTCCAACCCACCTCATACAATTGGTACTAAACTGATCATGAGGAGTAAGGGTCTTTAACTTCCATATTTCATCAGATATAAGATGTTCATTGATAGATGCACCATCCTAATTCAGAGATGTGAAAAATGGAAAAGAAAATGTGCTTCTTAGAATCATTACTATTACCTGAACTAAAGTCAGGGCATGGGAAATCACAAGCCATTTGATTTTAGGGGATCATGTATATGAATTAGCGAGCCCTCCAGATCAGTGTATAAATGCCCTGAGAAGTTTCGATGATTGGGTTTCCTCATTTCCAACAACATGATATGTTTTAGATCTTAGTTTAGAGTAATATCATGGAAAAATCTGTTAAATCTGTTAAAATATTAGCATAAGCAATTTTGAAAAGGTGCCAAATAATTAAAACATCAGAAATTTAGTGTGTTAATGTGTATTTATATTTGAAGTATCTTGCAGACGATGGAAATGAGTAGTAGATAAATTTATAAACAGGAACAAAATTCCACAAAGCTTCATCTTTGCCATAATTGAACCAATAAATATTTCACCTTTGTGTATTTGTGAACAGATTTTTGAACTTTGTGGAGCTGATGCTAAAAAACTGGAAGAAAAGATTCGAGAATTCATGTAAGCTGATCTCCAAGACAAAATACACTTGCAATGTTTTAAAAGGCCACAGTGAATGTGTTGTGTTTTTATTTCCAGCAAACATTGTGGTGTTCTATTGATCTCTCTCCTGACGCTTTACAGGTTGAATTCCATATTGCGATCTCACTGCAAAAATTGTTGAAACTCTTGTGCTGTCAGAGATTGTGTCATTTCCATTCTCTTAGCCTTGCGCAGCTAAGTCATACCAGTTCAGTGAGAAGGTTTCCCAGAGATTGCAGAAGATGGGATCTATCATAGCAATCAGGAAACATATAGAAGTCTTATTGGCTTGGTGCAGTCCAAATATATAGCAAGCTCTTCCTAATTGAACCATTGTTTGTGGTACAAAATTCTTCTCCAGTGCATCACCTTGTATTGGAACCATATCATTGGATAAAAGAAAGCATGGTGTACATAGCTATGGTTACATGTATAAATACTTACTATGTGCTAGGCAATATGCCAAGCCTGTAGCTGAGATTTGGCCTCTGTACACCAATACCAAATGGAACCTTAGAGACAGAGTTTTGGGTGAAGTAGAAAAAAAAAACTGCTTTATTGCTTTACCCGGCAAAGGAGGCCATGCCCTCAAAACTATGTGTCCCGACCTGGAGAGGGTAGTGAGGAATTTTATAGTAATTGTTCAAAAGAGGAGGGTGTGATTAGCTCATGGACATTCTTCTGATTGGTTGGTGGTGAGGTAACTGGGAGTCAGCATCATCAGCCTTCTAGTTGCAACTGGCCTGGGGTCTCTGTGCTTGTAGGCAGCATACAGTTAACTTTTCCCACCTGGTGGGGTTTCAGTATCTGTAAAACAGCTCAAAGATATTGCTGTGTATATCACTTGAGGGGGAACCAGGATCCTGCCCCAAGGCTGCACTGTCGTTTCTTGGCTGCTCCTCCCTTGTCTCTTTCCATTATTAGCAACTATTTGAACCTGCCGTTTGGAACTCAGGAGAGGGCATGGAGGGTGAATGAAGCCTATTTCCTACAAACAAGAAACAGGGGACACAGAAATGTTTTTGTGCCCAGGAGCCCCATGGGATCCTGCTCAGTTTCAAGTCCTTTGCATCCATCGCTTCATTTAACATTTGCAACAATCCTGTAAGTAGTCATGTATGGGTAAAATGTATAATGGGCTCTTTGGGTGGAAAAAGTTTGTAGTGATCGCCAATTTCTGTGGTGTAAATACTTGGTAGATTTCAAGCTACCAACATGCTGTTGAAACTGTTTAACTATGTTTGGGACTTGAACCCACAGTCCTTTATCTGGGATACAGACTTAATGAATCAGGTTCTTGGTGTTTCATCACAGAAAGAATTCAGTAAGAGACAAAGTGATAGGTAAGAAGTGGTTTTATTTAGAGAGAAACACTTCACAGACAGAGTTTGAGCCATCTCTGAAGGTGAGAGCAGCATCAGGGTATAAGGTTGTCAGTTTTTATAGGGCCGGGTACCTTCATAGGCTAATGAGTGGTAGGAGTATTCCAGCTACTTTGGAGAAGGGGTGGGGATGTCCAGGAATTGTGTCACTACCCACTTTTTGATGTTTATGGTTGGCCTTGGATCTGTCATGGTGCCTGTGGGTGTGTCATTCAGCTTGCTGAGGCTTAGCATATATAGCTTAGCATATACTGAGGCTTAAGGTCTGATGGAAGCTATTTGCCATGTTTTACCTATTTGGTTCTAATCAGTTTATGTCATGTCCTTGGGCTATGTCATTCTTAAGCCCTGCTTCCTTCCCTCCTGTTTCACCCTCATGGGTCCCAAATGTGCATCCTCCTGCTGTGTGTTCAGGTCATTCTGCATCTATCATAACTTTTCACTTCAATGCTGACAGTGTATTCTTTTAAAAGACATTTTAAACTGCAATTAAAAACTTCTAGGGCATCAACAATGCTTCTAAATCGATTCAGGTGACCACACATGAACAGCTCCGGCCAAGTCTGTGCACACACGGGGACAACCCAGTCAGGGCTGCCATCTGGTCCACTGAGATTATGAGAGGCCACTTCTTGTCAGAGGCATCTCTATTTCAAAGATGTTAAAATGTGCGATAATGTACACCTGGAGTATTCGGCCTCCTTGATCTTCCAATTAAATGTGAGCTCAAGAGCAAAAGGTTAAAAGCAGTCATAAAAATGTGGTTGTACTTCTTCTGAAAGATAAGTTGATCTCAGTCCCTTGAAATGCAAGTACCAACCTGTTTGCTTCACTAAGGAAAGGACAAACAGGAGATAGACAGCAGCAGGGAGCGGTGAGGGGTACCAGCTCTCTTGATCTCTGTTGAACCTTGAGTTGCTTTTCTTGACCCTTACAGTGTTTAGGCTGAAACACTGGGAGTGTGTTATCTTTCTCATATCTAATTCTCTGGCATCCAGCCCAGAGCACAGAGCACAGACCAAAGGAGACCCACACGGTACGAAGCTAAATGCAACACGGTACCCTGAATGGGAGCCTAGGGCAGAAAAGGGACGTAAGTGGGAAAAATGATGAAGTGTAAGTAAAATCTGGCGCTTAGTCCACAGTAACATACCTGTGTTGGTTTCTCAGTTTTAACATCAGTTCAGTCGCTCAGTTGTGTCCGACTCTCTGCAACCCCTTGGACTGCAGCATGCCAGGCTTCCCTGTCCATCACCAATTCATGGAGCTTGTTCAAACTCATGTCCATCAAGTCAGTGATGCCAGCCAACCATCTCATCCTCTGTCGTCCCCATCTCCTCCTGCCTTCAGTCTCTCCCAGCATCAGTGTCTTTTCAAATGAGTCAGTTCTTTGCCTCAGGTGGCCAAAGTATTGGAGTTTCAGCTTCAGCATCAGTCCTTCCAATGAATATTCAGGACTGATTTCCTTTAGGATGAACTGACTGGATCTCCTTGCAGTCCAAGAGACTCTCAAAAGTCTTCTCCAACACTGGACAGATACCATACTAGATCATGGAAGCAACCTAGATGTCCATTGACAGATGAATGGATAAGGAAGTTGTGGTACATATACACAATGGAATATTACTCAGCCATAAAAAGGAACATATTTGAGTCAGTCCTAATGAACCTAGAACCTATTATACAGAGTGAAGTAAATCAGAAAGAGAAAGATAAATATTGTATTCTAACGCACATATATGGAATCTATAAAAATGGTACTGAAGAATTTATTTACAGGGAAGCAATTGGAGAAACAGACATAGAGAATAGACTTATGGACATGGGAAGAGGGGAGGAGGGGGTGAGATGTATGGAAAGAGTAACATGGAAACTTACATTACTGTATGTAAAATAGACGGCCAATGGGAATTTGCTGTATGGCTCAGGAAATATTCATACAAGGGCTCTGTATCAACTTAGAGGGGTGGGATGGGGAGGGAGATGGGAGGGAGGTTCAAAAGGGAGGGGATATGTATACCTATGGCTGATTCATGTTGAGGCTTGACAGAAAACACAATTCTGTAAAGCAATTATCCTTCAATAAAAAAATAAAAACATGTTTTTAAAATTACTATTATTTTTTGACTGCACTGCGACTTCGTCGCTGTGTGGGCTTTCTGTGGTTATGGCAAGCAGGGGCTTCTCTTGTTTTGGAGCACAGGCTCCAGGCAGGCACTCGGGCTCAGTTATGGGCTCATGGGCTTAGTTGCTCCACAGCATGTGGAATCTCTCGGGACCAGGAATTGAACTCATGTCCCCTGCATTGGCAGGCAGCTTCCTAGCCATTGTACCACAAGGACGTACTGCCTATTAATTTTTTAGTTCAGTTCTGTTCAGCTGCTCAGTCGTGTCCAACTCTTTGTGACCCCATGAATCACAGCACGCCAGGCCTCCCTGTCCTTCACCAGCTCCCGGAGTTTACTCAAACTCATGTTCATCTACACATAAAAATAAAATTAAGTAGTTTAAGCTGAACAGCAAAAAAAAATAGCATTCTCCCTGTGTCAAAGCTATTTAATACCACATTCCCCATACTACCCCAAATCATCAGAAATTAGTACTTGAAATTCTCTCTCATGGGCATATGGGTCTGTGGCTTCCATTTTGTGAAAATGTAACCAAACTCTGATTATATGAAAGAAAAAGAAAAAAAAAAAAAACAAGTAGAAGTGGAATGGTTTCCTGTTGACGCAGAATGAAATTGTGAGTCATTCTTCCTTCTGCCACAGCCTTTCATGATCCGGCCCTTATGTTCATGTTTGCCCTCCTCCCATTGTCCATGGACTCCAGGCATTACCATTATGTCAAGCTCTGTAGTCTTCCCTGCATTTGAAATTGCCTCCTCGCATCTCTGCCTGCCAAACATTCTTCAATATCACTAGCCAACACACCATTCCTTCCAGTGAGTCTGCACAATCAGGCGAAGCCTCCCTCCGTGGTCCCAGACAGGGAAGAGCATTCCTTCTCTTGAGTGTCTATGGAGCTTTGTACGCACAACCATTACAGCCGCCATCTTTTGTGGGGTGTGGTAGATTTTTTTTGTCTGCCTAGGTTGCCAGATAATATAGCTGGTGCCTAGTAAAATTTGAATTTTAGATTTTTTAGTGTAAGTATGTCCCATGTAATAGTTAACTGAGTGCCCTGTATTTTTTATTTGCTAAACCTGGCAACCCCTCATCTGTCTCCAGTGAGACCTAGCTTCCTAAGACAAAGGTAGTGGCCCTCCATCCCTGTATGTGCAGTGCAGCTAAGACCAGAAATACATTTTTATTCCTGCCTAGAAATGCATGTTTGGAAGAGGGAAAATAACATGCTCAAATCTACTACATTCATAATCTACAGACTAGACCCACTGTTGACACTACTCTCTAGCTTGTCTTTAACACACATAATAACAAGTTACAGACTGCATGGCTTCTACTGACGTTTCTAGTCTATAGGTGTCTCCCATACAGATCACATTGTGAGGGTGAGAACTTGGTCTACTGAATCCAAAGACAGGTATGATAAATAGCAGCTGCAGCCAAGGACAAATCTACTCCATGTTGGGGCCAGTTCTGTCCCTATTAATCAGGTAGGCAATGAATCACAATGTTTTGCTTTCAGGCATTCCTGTGAGGGCAGTGTGCAATGATAGAAGAAATCACAGGCTCTGAAGTCAAATAAACTTGCATTTGCAGGTCTGACTCAGCCACTGCCAGGCCAGAGGCTTCTCTGGAGCTGTTTTCTCATCTGTAAACAGGGCCATCATGGATACCTCCAAAAGGTCAGTGTGAGTATTAAATATAATAATATACCTGGAGCATCTCTATGGCACCTCTCCACAGCAAGTGGAGGATAGGGATAAGGATGATGATGTTTTATGTCTACTATTCCAGCCAGAATATAATCTCTTTGAACATATGAACTGACTTATTTATAAACTTCTTTTGTGTTGTCCAACAGCCTCTAGTACCATAAGCAGTATTTTTTCCTCCAATAGACATCCAAAGAGACCAGAGTGTTTCAGATGTTCAGTGTTTTAGTACCTTTCAGAAAACTGACAGTATTTACCCACAGTAGGGTAGAGTAGGGTCAAAAAGTAGCCCAGGTGACTCGTGGACTACACACCATCTTTTATAAATCCTTGATAGACCAAGTTTGGGCAAATTAGTACTAGAGACATTGAAGAAGTAGGCATTTCTTTCTTAAAATAGTAAAGAACAGTTTTGGCATAAAAACTGCCATTCCCATATTTCCTGCCAGGATCTTCTATTGGACATGTACCCTAATCCCAGACACTCACCATCAGGATCACACTTCCATGAGGTCACCACCTCACCAGCTGCCCTTCTCACCAGCTGCTCAAGAAAATGAGTTCAGAATGATTCATAATCTACTCTCAGCAAATGTACATTCACCATTTAGAAGGCCTTCTCCCATCTTAATTTTTTATGTGTTCCTAGCTTCATTTAATTATGCTGCTGCTGCTGCTAAGTCGCTTCAGTTGTGTCTGACTCTGTGCGACCCCATAGACGGCAGCCTACCAGGCTCCCCTGTCCCTGGGATTCTCCAGGCAAGAACACTGGAGTGGGTTGCCATTTCCTTCTCCAATGCATGAAAGTGAAAAGTGAAAGTGAAGTCGCGCAGTCGTGTCCGACTCTTCGCGACCCCATGGACTGCAGCCCACCAGGCTCCTCTGCCCATGGGATTTTCCAGGCAAGAGTACTGGAGTGGGTTGCCATTGCCTTCTCTAGCTATCATTAAACTTGTATTTCCATATTAAGACACCTTGAGTTAAACCTAGCAAAGTCCTCATTGGCACCTGCCTTTATAACCATGTCTGTCTCTCTCTGTTACACATAAACACATACATATATACCATCATCTTCTTGGAACTCTGTGGCTTTGAACAATTTACCTGGGATGGAAATTTTCTCACCTGTACAGTGAGAAAGTCGGAATTGTGTGATCTCTAAGCTCCCTTTCAGCTCTGTATCCTTAGGATCTGATCCTGTTCTGTCCCTGCTTCTCCTTTAGCTGATCAAGAGTCTAACCCCTCCCCCTCCTCACCTTTGGGGAGTGAGGATTTCAATATATGGAGACAACTGCCCAGAATTCTCTGCTGGTGTCACAGAGGGTGAGGAAAGCCCAGAAGCAGCTGCTGTTTGGGAGCTTGAGAAAGAAATGGCTATAGAGGTGATAGAATATTACTCAGTCATAGAAAAGAATGGAATAAGGCCATTGGCAGCAACATGGATGGACCTAGAGATGATCATACTAAGTGACTTAAATCAGAAAAAGACAAATATCATATGGTATCGCTTACCTGTGCAATCTAAAAAATAATACAAATGAACTTATTTACAAAACAGAAACAGATTCATACACATAAAAAACAAACTTGTAGCTACCAGAGGGGAGACACTGGGGCTGGGGAATGGATAAACTAGATGTTTGGAATTACCATATACACATGATTACATATAAAACAGATACTCAACAAGGACCTAGTGTATAGTACAGGGAACTCTACTCAGTATTCTGTAATAACCTACATGGGAAAAGAATCTGAACAAGAATGGATATATGTATTATGGGATCACTTAGCTGTGCACCTGAAACTAATGTAACATTGTAAATCAGCTGTACTCCAATAGAAAATAAAAACTTTAAAATATACCACAGGCTAGATAGCTTGTAAACCACACAAATTTCTTTCTCACAATTCTGGAGGCTGGAAGTCCAAGATGAGGGTGCAGATATGGTCGGGTGAGAAATTTCCTTGTGGTTGCCGACTTCTTGTATCCTCACCTGGCAGAGAGTTCTGTGGGATCTTTTTTATTATAGCACTAACCCCTTTCATGAGGGCCCCACCATCAGGACATAATCACCCCCCAAAGGCCCCACCCACTGGTGGTTCAGAACTGCTTCACCAGGACTACGCACTTAACAATGAATAGTTCTTTACAGCTCAAGGAAAACTGCCACAGTCCTTTCCTGGTTCTCTGCTTCCCAGTCTCCCAAGTTCCTATTTTACCAGTAGGATCCATGTAAGTTTTTTCAAACTTGATCCATTTTCCTTCTGAAATTAACTCCTCTGAAATAACCGACTTGTATTTTGGGAAGAATCTGTTCGTTCTTGGTTTTCCATTTTCAAATGAGTTGATCTTCATAGTCTTTAGACAGGAAGTTCACATCTAAGATGTGGAATGAAGGGAGGGGTTCACCTTTGGGAAGAGGGCGAAAAGTAGAGAAGATGAACCCAAGGCAGCAGTTTCAGGAGATGAGACGGTACTGCTTTTAGAGCTTAGGTGGGTGGGAGAATTATGCTTGAGAATACAGAGTGCATGGTTCATTCATCTGAAATCCTGGACAGACAATAATGGATCATCATCATCTCCCAGGAGATATGATCACCTCTCCCAGGCAGCCTTTAGCCTCAATGTCCTTCTTTGGCCACCTCTGGAAGCACCAGGCCAACTGATAATTGCACAGCCTCGCACAGCCCTCAGATGAACTCATCTTTCATTCATTACAGTAATAGAAACAGGAGCTGGGAGAAACTCAGGCCTTTTCAACGGTACAGCTTGGGAATTACACCTACCAGCACCATGAAGGCGAAGACTTTTGTCTGCTTTTCACCGCCATCATCCCAGTGCCAGACAGTGCTGAGCACCTAGCAGGTACTCAACACTTAGTTGAATGAGTGTGTGAATAACTTCATAGATATTTACAAGAGTTAATAATAGTGAGATGAGAGAACTCACCTCGTGGAGGAGATGACTCACAGCTGAGTCCAATGTGAAAAAGGCTTTAGTCTTTTCTCTAAAGTCTTTTCTTTAGAGTCTTTTCTCTAGTCTCCACTTTTCTCTAACCACCTTTAAAATACTCCAGTTTTATGGGGCATTTTACTGGAGATAAACTTAATAAGTTAAAGTTACATAATTAGTTATACTCAGCTTCCATTATAATTACTTATTGATCCAAGGCTGCTCATGGAGCACCTGGCAACGGTGAAAGAAAAACAGTAGCAGATGTTTGGATTTAGTTCATGCTTGCTAACTAATTAGATGAGGATTTTTTTTTTCCCCCTGGAAACCCTAAGTGGTCTTCATTTGGCTCCAAAATTAAGAGTCCAAGCCCAGAGGCTTCAGCCAACTCTGTTTCTCTCTCTTGCTTCTGGACTGGAAGACATTCTAGCATTAAGATGCTTTTGCATAAAACTAATGTTGTTCATTAGAAGTTGATTTTATAGTTTAAGTCTCAGCATTCTGATGATGCCAGATATTACACAATGGGTGGGCTGGAATCAGAGTGTAAGGGTTTGAATCACAGCTCTCCCATTTACCATGTGTCCTTGGCCATACTTAACTTTTCGTTGCTCCAGCTTCAAAACCTATAATATGGGGAGAACGATGATATTTACATCACTAGATTATAATGACAAATAAACAATGCCTTGGACACAACAGATGCTATATATGTGTTCCTTCAATCATAAAACTACTTAAATTTCTAATGCTTTAGTTCCCAGTAAAGTTTTTGTTAATAATTGATTATCTGATCATTTAGGCACAGGATCAAAGTTGTTAATAAACAGGTTTATAGCTGACTTATATTCATATATGGCTAATAAAAATTAAAGATGTAACTCCTCAGTGAAGGATTGGTTGTATTCAAGGGTTGTTTAGGCAGAGAATGTCAGCTAAGGTTTTTGACAACCTGCAAGAGAAAACTCAGGCTGACTGCTTTAAGTAAAGCCACGGGGGAAGCCCCCAGTATTAAGCCTCAGGAAGGACAGGAATTGGGCATTTCCAGGCATCTCAGGAACATAAATTCATGGAGAAGCCCTCTAGGAGTGACTCCTGTGATTTTTCCCTCTTGCATTACTCCTTGAGTAATCATTAGCCTTGAGAGCTAAGCTCTTCTGAGAGAGTTGATTAGCCTGAAGTCAGCTGTCCATGCTTGGGCCTAGTGGTAGGGGCAGGCGTGGTATTCCCTGTTGGTATTCCCCAACAGAATTACAGGGAGTGGAGGGGAGAGATATCCAAAGGAAAAGATGGGTGTCATTACCCAAAGCAATGGAGAGGGTTGTTAGACAGGCCAAAGCAGCAGCTGTCCCCTGGATGAAGAAAGAAGAGGAAGGGAGGACAATGTTTTCTAAAATAGTAGTTACCTTTGTTTTGGAGGCCTTTCCAGGAATTTAAATGCATCTCTCTCCCTCAGAGGTTGGCTCATCCTCTCGGGGCATTCATGCAAAAAAAGCAAAAATCTGGCAATAGTCATTCATGCAAAAAAAGCAAGAATCTGGCAATAATCGTAAACTACTTCTTTGCCTGGCCTAATGAAACAGATCTCTAATTGTTTGTGTTGAATTCATTTAAATACTAATCTTTGCCTCACAGTTTCATAAGAGCAACAGTTCCTAGTTCAATCAAAACACACAATGCTGAACTTTCAGAATTCAACAGATGATAAGTTTATGAAAATGGTTTACATATTCATGAATCCTTTTCTCAGTCAAGTTTTTTGGGCTGTAAGTGCCAGAACACCCAACTTGAAGTTGCTTAAGCCAGACAGAAATGTATGTTAACACAGAACTGAATGTCCAGATACAGGAGAGGCATCAGGTGGTGGGGGGTGGGGGGGTGGATGGCTTTCTTCCAGTGGTTCCATCCTCTGCAATTACCATGATGTTTTCTGCCATGTTTTCTCTCCATGTTCTTCATCTCAGGGTGGAAGTAAGATGGCTCAGA